CACCACATGCCAGCCAGCCCCGCCCCCTGGTGGGCTGAGCTGGCCACACACACACACACACACACACACACACACGAATAAATAATTTTTTTTTTAATTCTTTAAAAAAATAAAATAATGGTGCCTCATTTACTGCAAGGGCAAACATAGATGACAAAATTGAATTCATAGCATACTAACAGGAAAACCAAGCATCCTATAACCTTGAAATGCTTTAAGGTAAATCTAGGTTTATTATAGGTTCTTGATTACAATCTCAATAGAGTAAATCAAATAAAGCATAAGCTGATGTAGAAACATTCTTAACAGATTTTTGAAAATTTCTAACTTCCTATCCATTCCACCCCAGAAGAATATCTTAAACCCAGCCTTCATTCCAAAGAACATAATCAGAGGTATTCTCTGTAGACTTATTCTGCCTATGCTGTACTTCAAGGCTCCCTGCCTATAACAGTCAGACAATTACCTAACCTTGTCTGCTTACTGACCTTATCTCTTAAGAACAAATTTCATAGGAAATGAACAAGCATTTGATAAGCTGACATGTTCCTTGTAAGCTTGCTATCACATTTTTTTCCCGAAGCAAGGTGTATGCTTGGAAATATATGTGCATTTTTCTACCTTGACTCAGCATTATCTTAGATATGGCCAGGATATGTATTTTCTGTACAGATGCAATGTATTACAGACTGGGAAATAACAAGGATATTCATATTTGGAATGAAAAAGTAAAACAAAAAGCTTGACAAATAAAAGATCAACCAAAGAAGATGGGATAGGGTCATCAATTGGAATGTTTGACAATAATAAATTAAGAAAAGCATTTACATTTTCCAAGGAATCAGTCTAATAAAACAAGATATTCTTCATCAATGCTTTATTAATAACATCTGTCTCTGAATATTGTTAAAGTAATATTTTAAGACAAATTACGTAAATAAAGCTTTCAAATACTTTGTTTCAATATGAAAGACCACTAATGATTCCAGGAAGCTTTTTCAGAAAACTCATAAAAGAATATATAAATGTCATTTGTATATTCAAAAACAAATTAAAATTGGTTACATGTACTAAAATTTAAGCACAACTTACAAATAATTAAAATTTATTGAAATATATGCATTTTAGGGTTCTTTATAGTTACAAACAGCATATTATTATACTCTGTGATTAATTTCTTTTTAATTTAATTTGTGATACATTTAGATATACACAAAGATCACATTCATCATAGGGCACTTGTGTCTGTACATAATATATCTTGATTCTTCTTTTTTCCCATTCCTCACTCCTCCCTTCAATCCCTCTTCCCCTCCTTATTTACCAAAGCTTTGATTTCATTATTTCCCCCTCTTCTCTTTTTCTTTTCCCTTCATTCCGTTCCCCTTTCCCCCTTCTTACTTCCCCTTCCCATTTGAACATTTTCTTCGTGTTTCACAATATCTATTATGCATGTTGGTCCTTATTTACAGTTTTTGTTTCTCATGCCAGAGAAACAGTGTGGAATGGGCCTCTGAATTCCTTTACAAATTGAAATGATACTATTCCTTCAAGAAATGATGAACTGCCCACAATATATTACAATGGCCATACTCCACTATGGTAAATGTTTAGAAATCAGAACTTGCAACATATAAAGTGTAGCAGTCTCTCAGCAGTTTTCTAGATATTAACCAAGTTGCCAGCACTCATGTACAACCCAAAATTCCAATGTCATCCATTTACAATGAAACAGACTTTTCCTATGGACTAGAGTATTTGTGTTGATTCATCTTTCATCTAAACCAGATCTGCCTACACATAAAGAACCTCATTTATGTACTTATCAACTTTTATTATTATTGTGCGCTTGCCTTTTAAATTTCCTTTTATTATCTTTTACTATTACAATTTTCTTGCCTAATAAGACAGTGAGCTATTTAATGGCAGGACCCAGATATTTTTATTTCTCTACCCTCTAGTACCCTATCATGATTGTTGGACAGATGAATTATTTGACTCTTGAAGCAACTTGGCATATAATCAATCAGAGAAGTCATAAATATATAACTGTGAGAAGAAAATACTGTGTAAAATTTTGACTCATAGTTAGCTTTCAGTCACTCAGAATTGTTAATAATTAATGTAACTATAAGCTTTCAAGTAGACTTGTAAGGTTGCCTGATAGGAAGACTACTTACACATCAGTTAACCAAGAGCTCTAGTTGCTGAAAATTCCCTTACAAATGAGGTTTCTACATAGAATGGAAAAAAATTGAGACTGAGATAAATGGAAAGAAGAAAAATCCACATCATCAGATTTCTATATATAATTTCTTTTCCTATAGCATCAAATACAATAATCATTTAGAGCCTATCTTAAATTATAAGATTTTTAAACTCCACATTGCTCTGTGTATTTTACTGTGTAACTTGAGAATATTAGACCAGAAAGTTACTTTCAAATTTAAACAAATCCTTCACTGTTTATTGAGTACGTGTCAGCAGACAGCTTTATAAATCCCCAAAGAACCTATGACACAATAGGTAAAGGAGAACTACACATGACAAAGACAAGGGACTCCAACCACATACTCAATATACACTCAGGAAATCAGTAACTACCAGAGAATATATCATTAAAATTGGTGCTTTGTCAAAAGCTTGGGATTATTTTTATTTATGTTTGGCAAGAATTGACATCAATATTTTATAAAATAGTCATTACACCTTAAATTATTTCCCATTTGAAAATACAGTAACTGAAAATAACCTACAGAATTATTTTTCCCAATTTTCATTTCAAAGCTGCTCATTATGAAAATGTCCATTTCAGCTTTAATATGAGGCAAATGTTTTCATTGCAGAACTACAGTGGTGATACAAATGCATTTATAGCTCACTGAACTGTATTATCTACATTACACAAGACAGCATATATTTAAATTATTGAAAATACAGTACAAGGTGTTTTCTTTTTCATCATGGTGCTTTCAGGAAAACATCAGAATCTCTTCTCCCTAAAAAGAAAAAAAACAAGGACAAAAATCAAGAAAACATAAATTTACACAGCATTAAAATTATATATTATCTCAAACTTGTAAAATTTTTCAATGGCACAAAATCCAAAATAATATGGCAGAATGATATACCTTGAACAATTATTATTTAAAACTGAGTGATAAAGATGGGGATGCTGAGAAGAAAAGAACAATTAGCCAATTTATGAATTATAGTACTATTCATATTTCTAGTCTACAGGCTGACTATTCATTAAGTCAACTCACTACTTGAATCTAATTGTCAGTTTAGGTCCAAGCCTGGGTCCCTATCAAAAACATATATAAAAATGCATTTCATATCATAAATATTTATTGTTTCAATCAAAGAATATCTTCTCACTCTAAACAACTTTCCATAGAGGAGCAGTCACACGTCAAATAACTACAAACACTGGTTTCTTTTCACTGTTCAGAATGACACATTCACTATAATAGCTTTGTTCAGGAGATGTTACAATCTGAGCCCATTTAACAATAAAGTTTACTCATTTAATTCCCTGTGCTAAAATAAAATGCATTAATTTGAGCACCAAAAACAGTTTCCTAAGCAAAAGTAAATGAACACTTCAAGTAGTCTGAATTATCCATCTGACAAAAGTTTTGTGCCTGTATTAGTGAAGTGAAATGGTAGTCATATGTCTACAAGAGAAACCAGAAGAACAACATGCAGTGAGAAATTAAAATGTGGCCAGGTAGAATTTTTGACTAAAAGCTTGTAGTATATTATACTGAGATTATAACACATAAATTAACTATCACTTGCTCTGCTAGCTGAATCTACATCTTCATTGTATTTTTCTTACAGAATTTCCAGTTGATTATATGCATATGAATAGGTGGAGTCCAAACCCTGAGCTTCTAAATCCTGTCAAAAATGTGCCAGCCCCAGCTCCGCCCCCAGGGTGTGATGAGATGGTGATTGAGGCTGGGCGTAGTGACTGACGAGTGCCTGTGATCCCAGCTCTTGGGAGGCTGAAAAACAGGAAATCACTACAAGTCTGATCTGTGTAGTGAGACCCTGTACAAAATACATAAAAAATGAAAAAAATCCTTTCAAAAATGAACAGTAATTACACCTATAGTACCTTGTGTACTTCGAGCTGAGGACTTCTTCTCAACTGGATACTGCAGAGGTATTACAATGCCTTGATCTGGCTTCTGAAATGCTGAAATGAGATTTTTTATTTTCCGGAAAAATCTTTTATGTACCCCTGGTGCCGTCTGGAAAATAAAAGTCAAGCACATTATTTACCTACCTCATAATGCTACCAAAAAAACAAACCCTACCAAAAGTGCAAGGGATGCTAAAAGAGGTAACATTTGTGTAACTTGTTCAAATATTTGAAAACATAAGGAAGAAAAAATAAACATTCCAAAAGAGCTTACTTTGGTTGGCTGAATATCCCTGCAAGAGGAACTAATGAGCTGTCATTTCCGTTCTCCCGAGGGCGGTATTAGTTTGTACAAGCTTTTGCTCATTGGCCTGCCCTTCTTGCCTGCTACAAATCATACATTCTGAACCTCTAAGGGTATACAGGCCATTACCCACAATCAGTTCAGCAACAGAAGGGATGCAGTTAAACATAGAAAAGGCCCAGATCCTACAGGTCATTAATAAAAAGCCCGAAGAACCACAAAAAAAAAAAATAACCCATCATCCCCTTCATCATTCTATGATATAAAATACTGCAGAGGGAATTAAAATTTGACTGTTAGGATGCATGAAATGCACAGCCACTTAGTCCTCATACTCTTTCACTGCATGATATGTCCTACTTCATCCTTCACATTCTTTTCTTCATTAGGAAACTTCCCTATACTCCCCCAAATTGCTGTCTCTGTCAGCACTGCACTATGACAAGGTTTTCTCTAAAACATGAAGAGGAAAGACTGTCTAAGGTCAACTTTATTTACTTGTTTGTTTTTAAACAGATCTTTATCTGAAGGTGACTATTAAAATATATTACTTCCCTGACATCAGGTCTCTTACAAAATATGCCTGAAATCAACAACAATTTCCTGCAGAAGCTTGAGCCAAGCTTTAGGCATCCGTTCAAACTGTCATTTTACATAAAGTAAAACAGTGATGCTGTGAGCAATTGAACAATGAGTAGAGGTTTTGGGTTTTTTTTTTTTTTAAGGAAGTTTTTAGCCATTCCACCTGGAAGATTTTTGAAATGGAAGCTGGGGTTTTTTTAGCATTTATTGAAAAAACATGAAGGTGGGCTTGTAGATAAATAGTATGCTGGAGATAGCACACTGTCCACAGTAACTTTCAGGCATTTTCCACACTAAGATTAGTAATTCTTTGGAGGAAATACTGCAAAAGTGCAGCGGTTCAAACAATTCTTTGGCTCTAAGACAGAATCCCCAAATAGCAAAGCTATGACACAAGCTGAGAATACTTCCTTATACCTTCGTTGGAGCACTTTTTCATTTTCAAAATGCTCTCCCATCTTGACTCCCACTATATTCTCACAGACTGTTGCTTATTGGCTGATTGGTTTATTCACATTTGTCAATAAAAACTTAAGTAGAGGAAAATTAATCAGTTTATGTAGGGTCTCACAGACAACTAGAAACACTAGAATTGCCTGTGCATCCCTTTCATGGTAGGACTGGATCAAGAAGATTCTAGTGAAGCTATAGTCACCAACTAGAGAAGAAAGTATACACTCCCCCAGTGTAGAAAGATTTCAAACCATATAGCATTTGAGCTGTTCTTATGGGTTGTAAAACCATTTGTCAAGAGAATAACCACATTTATGGAGACTGATATGCAGTTAACACTTGCTTGTACACACTGACCCAGGAATGAGAGCACTGGATACATAGAAGCAACTTCAATTTGGGATGCAGTGTTTCCTTAGCAAATTCTGACCTAACATAGCGATTTTCTTAGGCTAACAAGTAAAAGTATCGACTATCAACTGCTATTCTGAACCTCAAATACCCAGAAAAGCTCAAAGGCATTAAAGTTGCAGAGAGGTCTGTACATTCTTAACAATGTACCACTCTAAATTCACATATTAATAAATGATAGTTGACTATGTAAAAATCTGTGAATTAACAAGCAAACTGTTAGCCTAACTCACATAGGCTAAGTTAAGATATTAGGCAGTGGCCTAAAAATTACACATGATATTTGTCTTTTTTAATTCACAGAAACCAAGCTTCAATTTCATCCCATTCCTCAAAAGAAATCTCAGACTTATCTAGGATTTCTAGCACAATCTTTGCACATTCTTACGGAATGCTAGTGCCATAATTTTTTTCTGCAGCATGGAAAACGGAAATGTTGTTCCAAAAAGTAGTATAAATATCTATCATTTGCCCAATTTTAAAAATACATTTACCACAAGAATTGTACCCCTGACAACTCCCATCCTGTCACTGAACTCAGTTATTGTTCCAAGTTGCACATTTCCCATGCTGTCACCTCTTAGTTATCCACAGAAAAAGGTTCTGGACTGCCACTTGTCCTCAATATGCTTTAGAGAAATTTCTTAGAGTCAGGTGGTATGAGCTCTGAGAATGCACACTAATTTAATATTCGCCTTAATAACTGAGAATAACTGAGAAGCTAAATACAGTAATCAGAAAAAGCACAAAATAGTTTTTAGAAAATATAGAATTGTTGAAGTGGTTTGTATTTGGGAATAATCCATGCCAGTCTTCTGCTATCTTGATGCAAATAATGACAATAATATTAAATAAATAAAGTCAGTCTAGACACTGAGATGAGGGACATTTATGTTCCATAAACCCTCTCCTTCTTAGCATAATCACAACAGTGCAGCAATCTGCAATGACGTTATACTCAAAATGGAGAAGAGCAAGTTTAGAAATAAGGCTGTTAAATCCTAAAAAAATCCAAAGTCATTAAATCTTCTGGGGAAAGGGCAGGTGGAAGCAGACCTGGAACATGGATGCTCATGGCCAACAAAACCCACGATCTTTCACTGCTGTCCACTCCCATGTTATAGCTCCCTCGGGATATTATGGACTCTTAGAAATAAGAATAATATTTTATTGACTTTTGTGTGGTTACTAAAATATACAGGTACTAAGAGTTTGACATCCTCTTTCAACTTTTTTTATATTTCCCAAGTCATAGCACTCCGCACATATTTGGTTAAATGACTTTGAGACCAAAATTCTCCAAAGGTCTCTTTTTCTCTTTTTGAAAATCTTTTATCTGAGCCGACCAAATAGCTCAGCGGATTAAAGCGCCTGCTTAGGGGCCAGCCAGATAGCTCAGTGGACTAAAGTGCCTGCTTAGGCAGAGCACAGTGACTGGGACTCAATCCCCAGCATGCCTTGCCCACATGGCCCCCGGTGCACACTGAGATGGTGATTGAGACTGGGCGTGATGGCACGCACCTGTAATCCCAGCTCTTGGGAAGCTGTAAACTGATGGATCACTATGAGTCTGATGTAATAGTGAGACCTCGTGGACCCCGTACTAAATACAAAAAAATACAAGCCCCCTGCTTAGGCAGATGCAAGGGTCAGAGGTTGGACCCCTGGCCTGCCATGCCTGCCCTGCCCCCAGGGCTCCTTAAACCATTGTTTGAGACTGGGAGTGGTGGGGCGCGCCTGTAATCCAAGCCTTGGGAAGCTGAAAACAAGAATTCAGTAGTTGTGAGACACTGTGGACCCTACAGACCCTGTACTAAATAAAAAAAAAATACAATCTTTTTTGTCTTCCTACCCTCCCTTCTCCATCTTATAGCTCCTTCCCCTTTAAAAAAAGATTTCCCTACTTCCCATTATCTATCCTTTATTTTACTTTTTATATTTGGGGGTTCTCACAGAAAAAGCATGCAATATTTAAACTTGTGTGTCTGACTTATGTCACTTAACGTTATAGCCTCAAGATGCATCCATTCACCTGCAAATAATTCAAATATGAACCACAAACAATTTTGTTACAGGAGCTTTAGTGATTTATATCTGATGAATATTTTGGCAGTGTATGATACGAATTTTCCATTATCAAACCAACTTAAATTTCAAACCCGCCTCCCTGACACTGAAACAAAAACAAATAAAAAAGAAGTGTACCTCAGCACTCCAAGAACCCGTTTCTGTCTGGGACACTCGGTATGTATAAATGTAACCTTGATACCTGTGAAAGAATAAATTTTCATTACTGAACAGAATAATGAATGCTCTAAATTTCAACCTACTATCACATATAAATGTTACAGACGAGGCACACATTCCTGAAACCATTGTTTCCATAGCAAGCTAGGGCAAAGGATTTTGACTTGCTTGCATATTGTATATACCTCATCACAGGTTCCAGTGAGCTTTCCTTATCTTCTTACTTTTCTCAATATGGACACTCACATTTCTAAAGATTTGTTTAGTTCAGAAAGAAACTACAGAACTGCACTAATTGGTAAAACTCATGAATTGCTAAAGACTTTTAACAAATCATAAGGTTAATTTTTAGGTTCATATAGAGCCTGAAGGTGAAATTTTCACTGCAATAAGATAATACCACACCCACACAAAATAATGTTAACATTTATAATAGTAATTAGAAAAATACTGTAGTAGTATAAGCTTATAATATTCTAAGAATATAACTCTACTCTTAAAATGCCACTATTGCTTCATAAATACATATTGTAATAGAATATTACTATACTACTGTGTAATAGATTACACTAATATAGTAGTAATCATAATTTGCATTTCAAACAAGTGTTATATCAGAGAATATTATTCAGTCTTAAAAAAGAATTAAATTCTGTCATTTGCAGCAACACAGATGAAATATGAAACTGAAAACCATGACAAGTATGTTGAGTGGAATAAAGCACAAACGGAAAACCAGTGCATGTTCTCACTTATACATGAATGCTAAAAATTGGTCTGAAAGAAGAACACAAGGTAATAGCGGCTATCAGATCCTGGGAAGGGTATAGGAGAGGAGGGAAGAGAGGCCAGTTCATTGCTACAGGGGTGTGTCTCCATAGGAAGAATAACTTTGAATGGTCCATATAGCATAGTAGGATAACTATGGCTGACAACAATTATAATCATATATCTCAAAATAGCTAGTAGAGATGATTTTAAGTGTTCTCAAAGCAAAGAAATGGTAAATGTCTGGGGTTATACATATACCACTTACCCTGATCTGACTGTTACATGTTATATACATGTACTAAAACATCCAAATACCCTGGATATAGGGATGGAATTACCCTAATATGATTGTTACATATTGTATACATGTACTGGAGTATCAGACTGTACTGCACAAATAGGGACATTATGTGTCAAATAGAATAAAACACTCTCAGGAAGAGAAAAGGAGTGCTGCCAATGCACTAGAAAGCAGTTCATCCTTTTTAAATGCAGCAAGCATTCTCTACCATTCAGTTTATATGCACATTGCATGCCTGTATAATTGATTTCTACTATATGCCAAGAGTTTTACACATTATATTAGTTTTCTCAGCTGCCGTAAAAGACTAGTGCAGACTGAATGGCTTAAACAAAGGAAATTTAGGGCTGAGGTAAGAGCTCCGTCTAAGTGCCTTCCTGGCAAGCACAAGGACCTGGGTTTGATTCCTGATACTGCGTGCAGTCCCAGCCCAGTAACTCCAGGTGCACTGTGCTGGCTCTGACACTGGGCATGGTGGTGCATGCCTGTAATCCCAGTGCTCGAGAAGGTGAGACAGGAGGATCACCATGCGTCCATGCTGCTGTACAAAATAAATAAAAATTGTAAAACAACACAAAGGAAATTTATTTCTCACAGTTCTGGAGGATAGACATCCCAAATCAAGGTTCCAGCAAGGGAGCTTTCATTCTGAGGTCTATTCTTTTGACTCGTGAGTAGTTGACTCCCCACTGTACTGTTCAAGCACTGGGAAAGAGAGAAAGATCTTTCGCTTCCTCTTCTCATAATGCCACCAATCCTATTAGATGAAGGCTCCACGCTTGTGATCTCATTTAACCTTCATAACCTTCTACAGATCCTATCTCCAAATACAGTCACACTGGGACAAATGCTTTAAAGATATTTGGATACACGTTTCACTCCATCATTCCATCCCTAGCCCTACAAAATTTATGCCCTTCTCCCATCCAAAATACATTTATTTCATTTCAGTGGCCCCTAAAGTCTTAACTCATTCCAACAACTCTGAAGTTTTAAGTCCAAAGCTAAATCTAAGTATTGTCCAATCAGATATGGGTGAGATTCAAGGTGCCATTCACATTAAGGCAAAATTCCTTTCCACATGTAAACTTATAAGACCAGGTAAGTTATATACTTTCAAAATACGATGCTATGATGGACATACGATAGATGCTTCTATTCCAAAATAGAGATATCAGAGTAACAGAGTGACAGGTTCCAAGCAACTTCAAAACCTAGCAAAGCAAATTTCATTAGATTTTGAGGTCCCAGAATAATCTTTTATTCAGTACTCTGCCCTTAGGTCCACTTGGACAACAGTTTTACCCTCATTTCTTCTGACAGAAGCATAGCCTCATCCAAGCATCCCTGTTGCACCTCATTGTTATACTTTTTAAAAATTACCTTTTATTCATTAATTTATTCAGTACAGGGTCTCACTATGCAGCTCAGACTCATAGTGCTCCTCCTGTTTCAGCCTTCCTAGCACTGGGACTGCAGGCATGTGCCACCATGTCCAGTTTTGGTGGCTGGCAGGGTGCAATTCCAGAGCTGGTGTGGCACGCAGTATCAGGGATGGAACCTGAGGCCTAGTGCTTGCCAAGTAGGTGCTTAGACCACCAAGCTATCTTCCCACTCCCTCATTACTACACTTTGAAACTAAGGTAGAACAGCCTATACACACTCAGGTCCTGTGGCAGGAGCAGAAGCCTTGATGATTTCTGAACTGCCTGCAGGGTCGTTGCCCCTTTTCTTGAAAGATAAAGCAGGTTTTCAGTGAAAATGGTCTACCATACTGCCCTGTTCCCTTTGGTACAAACTGAAAGTGTCTCTATTGCTTTGGTCTAAACTCTACTCCTGGCTTCTACTGAAATAGCTGATTAGCATAGTGGGTAATGCCATATGGACAGATAGTCCAGTCAGTCACACCCTTAGTGTTTTCTCTACAGGTTGCAATATGCAGAGAGCTTTGAAAATCTTTAAGGTCTGGTTCCTTCTTACCTAATGATTTCTTCTTCAAGTCATCTCTTTTCTTTTACTTTTTATTATAAGCAGTTTAGAAGAACCAAGCCACTCTTTTAAAACTTTCTTTAGAAATGTCCTCAGCTGGGGGCCCTGGGGATATAATTTTGAAGAAGAAGAAGAAGAAGAAGAAGAAGAAGAAGAAGAAGAAGAAGAAGAAGAAGAAGAAGAAGAAGAAGAAGAAGAAGAAGAAGAAGAAG